ACTTAGTAACAACATCTGATTTTTCTCTTTTTTGCCCTTCTCCCATCTCATGGTTAAACAAAGATGTGATGCGACTCCATTCATCACCAATTAGGCAATGCGGGGGAGCAAGTAACGGTTCACCATCCTTAACACTTAGCCAGCACCGTGTTAGAACTAACACCTCGTTTGTCGTCCATGGCCTTTCAGAATTGGAACCAGGTACTTCATTCGAAGAACTTGCTGCATTCGACGACATTTCTAATAATGGGAATTCGTTTTGTTTAGGTGATTTGGGTGTTTGGTTTATAGATCTTAAACATCTATTTATATAAATAAATAGACTATGAAATAATACTTTGACTACGAAATGGTTATATTTGGACTACGAATTTCAGCTTTATGCAGTGTTTTGTCATGTCAAACTGTCTAGTCATTTCAAAGTTGGACTTCTCATTACTGTCTAGTATGTATAAATACCACTTATGCTCCAGTTTAATACAACAACGATTTTATTATGAGTTCCTCACACAAATTCGAAATTTGCTCATGCAACGAAGTAGATTGTTACTACTGTGATTCGGTAGACCCTTTTTTTACACCCTCTTCAGCCGGGTCATATATGTCACATGAAAATTTTGAAGAATTAAAGAAGGCTGAAGCACAACAAGAAGAGGACAAAGAGTCATCCCGACTTCTCACTCAACTTGCTAATGATATAGGTTCGGAATGCAAACAAGCTGAAGAATGGATTGACCTCAATAAAAACAAAATCAAAGAGCATAAAGATTGGATAAAAAAGAGTAAGAAGGCAATCAAAACGACTGAAAAACGGCTTGCTGAGAAGGATGAGCACTTGATACACATTATGGTAAAAAAGGATCGTTTCGAAGACAAAATGAGAATTAGGGATGACTATATAACAATGGAGAAAGAGAAGTACCCGTTGCAGTTCCCTGAGTTTAAAAATTAGTTATAAAGTTGTTGTAATATTATCATGAAACAGATTAGGTTGCCAAAGGATCGTTTGTTGTTTTTTTTTTTAAATAACATGTTGTAACTGTTAAAATAAATCTGCAAACTATATTTTATAATATAAAGGCTTCATTCATTGTTATAATCAACAAACTTAACTAAAATATGAAAGCATAGCAATGTCTTGTAAGAGTTAATAAAAATATTACAATACATAATAAGCTAACAACTCGTCATTACTCTTAATTTCAAGGTTGTTTTATATCAAAATCAGCGTTATGGGTTTGTGAGCAACCCGCTGAACCACCAATATTATATGTCATTTCTGCAGTAGAAATTATGTGACCTGCTCTGCTACCAGACGCCCTTCCAGTACAATTATTTCTCGTGTGTCCTAGTTGACCACATGTAGAACACTCTTTTATAATTGGACCCTCGCCTTGGGATGGAATGCGGTCTGTGTTTCTTGGCCTGCCTGGCTGACGTTTATCCATTATAGGTGGCTTAACAATCATCAAATCATCGGGGATCTCCCATTCGGATGGCTTCGGCAGAGGGTTTATTGATTCCTCATATGTTTTCCTCAGTGTTTCGGTAAAGTAAGCATTTAATGCAAACCTCGAGCAGTCTTGATAATTGTTCACTGTTAAACATCTTATGACATGACCACAAGGTATCCCATCAAGTTGCCAATGCCTACATGTACATGTCATATGTTGAAAATCAACAATCACATTTTGTGCCCCCTTTTTGACCTCGCATTTCGTATTTGAGATCATGCGAACATCCCATTTGGTAAAAATTTTCTTGTTTTCTTTTACAACTTCATCCTCCCAAGGGGTAAGTGTTGTTGTTGCTTCCGCTAAAAAAACAGCCAAAATGAAGAAGTTAAAATCAATAACATCGAAACTAATAAAACATTAATATTACAAATTTACGTAATACCTGCAAAGTTACGTCTTTGAAACCACCATTGTTGCATTGTAGCACGAAAAAAATCAATCAACATAAGTATTGGCACCTTACGTGCGTGTCTAGATAATGCATTTATAGACTCCGCACTGTTGGACGACATAAGATTGTATCGGTTCCCTTTAAAATGTGCCCTTGACCAGGTTTCTGGATTTATACTTTTAAGTACTCCCATACTGGTTCTTTTGTCTTTTTCATAACATCCATGGCAGCATCAAAAGCATCAACTGTGTACGCCCTACACGCCTCCCAAAAAATTCCTTTAACCGTCTTACTCTTGCCGAATCTAGATACTATGTTGAAATACAAATGGACACCACATATTCCATGATGAGCGTGAGGAAAAATGTTGGCAACAGATGTTGCTATAGATGGAGACCTATCAGATATAATTGTAAGCTCCTGCATATTTCCTATGCAATCACGTAATTTTTGAAAAAACCATGTCCAAGAATCAGTACACTCATTTTTGCATATACCATATGCAACCGGTAATATTTGATTTTGTCCGTCCTTAGTAACTGCAAGTAGCATGGTACCTTTGAACTCGCCCTTTAGGTGAGCTCCATCTACTACTAGGGTCGGCTTACAAAAATTGACAAAAGCTCGTACCTACAATACATTGTATATCTATTCAAATACACCAAAATAAATATTAAAAAAAAATTAGGACATGATAATACTAACCGAGCAACCGAGTGCGACGTACAAAAACTCAAACCGATCATCAGCATCTGTTTTAATATGTGTGACAGTACCCGGATTATGTTTGGCCAAGTTGTGACAATACGCCGGAAGTTTGGTAAAAGAATCCTTTTTCGTACCCCTTAACGACAACAATGCATATTGCTTCGCACGCCATGCCTGATGGTATGAGATATTGATATTCAATTGAGCATTCATATCATTAACAATTTCTTTTCCCCGATAAACTCTACTATAGTCTTCAGCCAAAACATCAGCAACATATTCACCCAAAACATATTTGTTTGCTTGTCGATGATTAGGTTGCAACAATGTTGAAGAACATGTGTGTACATCAACAAATTTATTCACTTGGAAAAGTCCATCAGCATTTTTAATTGCTTTTGCTCTTAGTAACCAAGAACAATTTTTCGAAACACACACAACTTCATACCTTGATTTGGTGGATCTACTTGTCCTCGTCTGGAAACCTTCTCGAAGACATTTTTTACCAATACAACGCTTTAAAAGTTCTTTGTTTTTAAATATACTCTCACATTGAATCTTTTGAAGATTAATGTCTACCATCTGTGTTGGGATATCTTCATTATTATCAACTGGCCATGCTGGTACAGGGGGCATACCGTGAAAAAGGTTATCGGGATACTTAGCTTTAACTTTATCACCCAACTCATCTTTGGAATTACTTTGTAGCTCGGTTATATCTAAACATACATCACCAACATCAACATAATGCCCGTAAACATGATTTTTTTCATTTTTTTGAGTTGAATTTTTTTTCTTTTTAGTTTTATCTACCACACGCCTATTCATAAGTTTAACTTCTTGTTCGGCAACATCATCACAACGACCACCAACATGATTAAGATATGTACCAACATCATCATCACCAACATACTTGTAATTCTCGGGATCCACATAGTGAATAGGTGAATAACTAACATTAACATTTTCAGCAACACTGTGAAACTGAGGTACACTAGGAGTATTGAAAGTACCTATCGGATCGTTGCTCCCTTTAAAACTGCATAAATTACCAACAACTTCGTTTCCAATTTCACCGCCCCCATTAACCTCCTCAACTTCATCAACCACCACAAACACTTTCACAGCCCTTCCTCCACTACATTTGATTACGTTTATCAACATTCTAACATCCACGTCTTCAACTATAGCTATATAATAATTTAATTCAGGATGGTGGAAACGAAGACTAATTCTATATTTGTCTAACAAACCAATTTTGCTTCTTACCAAAGATACAAAATCACTATAACTAATATACTCAGAAAATATCAAAGCAAGTTCAGAAATACCTCCCTGTGGACATATGTATTCCAGATTAGTTTCATTAACTTGCCATCTCCCACCCGTTACAAGACAAACCAAATATTCAATCATTTTTTGAGCAAATTGTAGAGATAGAGAGTATTTCACAAACAAATAACAACCAAAATGATATTTTTTCTACAAAAGTTTTTATATAGCAAAACCCATTTCGTAGTCAAACCAACTCATTCCATAGTCAAACTTAAAAAAAAAATAATAAAATAAAATAAAATAAAAAAAATTGCATGATTTCGCAGATAGGATCAGAGGATTTCGCAGATGGGACCTTCTCCATCTGCGAAATTACCCCTATTTATACCGAAAAAATTTAAAAAAAAAAAAAAAAATTCTCATCTGCGAAAGTACAAGTGCCTGAAGCTGTACTTTCGCAGATGAGATGCCCATTTCGCAGATGGGACCTTCTCACCTGCGAAATGGGTGGCTAAATATGTAATCCCGATTTTTTTTGGCTATTTTTGTAATGCAATTAGTGTAATTGGCTATTTTTGTCATTTTCTCTAAAATCATTTTAGCCCGAGCCCGAATGTGCATAATACCAATCCAAATTCCAATGGACCTAAAGAAGAAGAAGAAGAAAAAAAAAAAACCCCGATTAAACACTTATGGAGGCGCTCGGCCCAAACTACCAAAAGCCGAAAATAGAATTCAGTCGACAGTCGACACTCCTCGATACGGCGGCGATCTTCGTCTTCGCTCAAGCAAATCTCCTTCTCCATTGTTGATCATTTCAAGGTATTATTCAAGCTATCTCTCTCTATACAAGAATTGACACAAGATCTGTATACACTCTAATTGTCTGAATAATTTTATTTATTCTTCCACGTGGAACCATATGTTTAGATGCAAATCCCTAATTCAATCAGACTTTTCGACTCGTTCACACTCCACTCACACTCCACAACAAGCACATACATCATTCTGTTATCCTTCTCTTTTAATTTCTTCATCTCGTAGTTTAGCGTTTAGGTTTTTTCGTTTTACTGTTCCAATTTTTATGTTCTTGTTCGGGTTGTAGTTAAATGGCGTCCCTGAAGGAAATTCTAACGCGTCGGCCAGTGGCGGCGACAGTCCGTCTCACCATCCCAGCCGGCGGAGCAAGACCTGGACCACCGGTAGGTCCGGCTGTAGGTCAGTACAAAGTTAACCTAATGGCGTTCTGCAAGGACTTCAACGCTCGCACACAGAAATACAAATCGGAAGCTCCAATCGCTGCTACTGTGACTGTTTTCAAAGACAATACTTTTGAATTGAGCGTTCGTTCTCCTTCAGTCACCTGGTTTCTAAAAAAAGCCGCCGGAATTGACTCCGGGAGTGGACGTGCAGGTCATGTTGTTGCATCAACCCTAACCCTAAAACACATCTATGAAATCGCAAAGGTGAAGCAAGCAGATCCGTATTGTCAGTACATGTCCTTGGAGGCGATTTCAAAATCAATTATAGGTACAGCTAAATCTATGGGGATTAAGGTTGAAAAGGAGTTGGATTGATGATGAATCTTGAAATCTTGATTAATGAATGTTAGATTTTTGTAGACTAGTGTACTTGAGATGATATCTGGATTTGAGTATTTGAAAATTGCTTTGAAAAACTGCATAAAATCTTCGTGTTTGAAGTTGTTTAAAGGTTTTCCTGTGTTGAAAGGTGAAACTTGAAGCCTGTGATTTCATATATCTTGCAATCTTTGTATAGTCTTTTGTTTTAACTTGTGGAAAAGTGATTATTGCAATCGACTTTTAAATTCTTGTGAAATTTTTGTATGTTGAAACATCTGCAAATGTGATGGTTTAACAGAAAACCAGTATCTCTGTTGCTTAGGTTTTGTTGAAATGGATATGATAGATTTAATTAGTTGGTTGATTGTACAATTAGTAAATGCTTAATAGGAAAATGAAATGACTTAGATGGGTAAAAATCTTTTCCAAATGGTCAAAAAACATCATTAAACTTGTTTTTTTTTCTTGTTATATCATATAACTTGGTGAAGTGGTAAAAAAAAAATACAATTGGAGGAGGATGTTGCTGATTTGGCATTTGTTTTGGCCGGTTTTCCTTAGAAATAAAATCTTTACATTGATATCATTTTTTCCTATGTGGCTATTAGAGATGTACCCCTGATCTATGGACACTTCAGAGAGCATTACACATGATTATGTGAAAATTAGAGCTTTCTTTAGTTCGGAGTATAGTCTTCCTATGGAAGAAGACAAAGACTCTCTTGTCTAGTTTAACCATATTAAAGCTTCTATGATGGATGTTGATTTCAAACATTCAAGGAAAACCACAATGACTGGTTTGTGGATACAAATGAATCAAAGTACATGTGTGCTACAAATGCACTTCGACCTAAAATTCCTAGTCTACTTTAACCATATTAAAGCTTCTATGATGGATGTTGATTTCAAAAGAATGGGTTTCAACGACTACATTTTATATATAAAATTTTTGACTAATGACGTGTGTTGATGTGTACTACTATGTTGGACAAGTATCACTAAGACATATGTCGAGAGCATTGACGAATGATGATGATTTTGTTGATTTTTAAAGGATGCTTATGTATAATGGTAGAAGAATCGAAAGTGAATACTTTGATGATCACGTGGACGCATTCTTGTCTGATACATTATTAGTTGTTCATAGAGGATATGTTTTTGAATTGAATAGTGTGTTGGTCCCTTTTTGAGCAACAATTGTTTTTATTTAAGACCAAATACAGTTTACTTATAAGTTCTAGAATACGTTGGCAACTACACCAAACCCCCACCCCTAGTGTATCTTTATTTTGATCTAGTTCAGAAAATGGGATAATATGGTACCCATCGTTGGTATGAGATTATCTAACATAAAGCAACTTAACTATTGTTAAGCAATTATGTTGTTGCTAATGGGTATAATCTATGGTATGAAAAAATGACAAAAGTAGATTGTTAGTTAACTGTTGCAAAAATGACAAGGAATAGGTTTCATGTCCTTCTACATTACGTGTAAGTTGGATTAGTAAAGAAAATTTTGTACTAAGTCCTTAATTGTAGAACATAATTATACTAGAACCTTTATCTTTAGGTTATTTGTCACATATTCATGGGTGGGAAAGCAATTTGTTAATCACATTTTGGAAAACCCCTAAAATAAGTTATGGAAAAATGGCACATGAAGTTATGAAGAGATTCAACATAAAGATTAGTGTTTTGTAGGGTAGAATGCAAAGAAACATGTTTTAAATGAGATTGAAGGTACATCCACATTATGAAAAATTATGAAGTTATGGTTAGATTTTAAAGTCTAATCTAGGTTCTATTGTGAATGTAGATGTAGATATTATGCCTAATTCTACATGTTGTATTTCAAAGATACATATATGTCTAAGAGGTGTAAATGATTGTTGGATTCAAGGATGCATAAAGTGAGAATAAACAATATGTTAGGCACATCTATGCCAGCTTTAAGAAAACATCCGCAAATGTTGAATATAGGAAGCTTTGGTAGATAGTTGTAAAGGCCTTAAATACATCAATATTTGAAACTACAGTGAATCAAATTAGGTTGATAAACACAACTGCATATGAGCATTTGATGGAAAGGCAACCTAAAACATGGTGTATGGCTTATTTTGAAGAAGATGGGTGTTACAATATTGTTAAGAACGACAATTCAAAATCTTTCAATGCAACACTTGTGATTGCTATGAAGAAACCTATTCTAGCAATCTTGGCGGAAATAACAATATTTGTGATGGATAGGATGTATCATTAGAAAACGAAGGGAAGAAAATTGGAACTTAGCCATATGTCCCTCAGTTAGAAGGAGGATTGAAAAAATTATGCCGCATCAGTGGTATCAGGGAGTAATTCCAAGTGGGATGCATCGACATTTAAGTAAGACTTCTGCATCAAGGTTTTGGTGATCATTTGAATGCAAACATGTGTGCTTGTAAAGTATGACATTTCACTGGTATACCGTATATGCATGTTACTGTTGCAATTTCCTATGTAAATAGGAATGTAAAGCAATATGTTGTAGAATGGTTAACAACAAAAATGTTCGAAAGCTACTATTAGTACATAATCAATCCCATTAATGGCAGTGACATGTTGTAATAGTGTTTTCCCCAAAACATAAAAGAATAACAGGAAGACCAATCATCAACAAAAAGAGAGACCTTACAAAGTTAGAGGGATACATATTGTTATAAAGTGGGGACAACTACAAAATGCATCCTATGTAGACAAACATGCCACAAAAATGTCCAATAGTCAAAGAAAACAAGGCACCCCAAGAGGTGGAGGAATCTCTCACGATTGAAGAAACACATGTAGTAGCCTGGAAGTTGAAGCAATGTGAAGAGGCAAATGAAAAACTCTAAGAGAATCACCAAATTAAGGGTAATGAAGAAGGTTGATCCTATAGGATAGGAATGACACTAGTGTAGAAAAACGAGTGGCCCTGGAGTAATGAACTTGTTCCAACATCATCATATGATTTGTAATTCCTAAAACAATGAAGTACATGTATTGTTTATTAACTACATTTGCATATATGAAAAAATTGAACTACATTTATCCTACTATCTTTTTAAGTACTAGGAAATTGTTTAGTTATAGTTTTGGTCCCTATAATTTTTAATTTTAATAATTACAAGTTTGCTCCCTGTAATTTATAATTTCTATTAATTAAAGTTTTTGTACCCATATTTTTTAATTTGCATAATTACGGTTTTGGTTCTTATATTTTCTATTAATAACAATTTTGGTCCTTATAGTTTTAAAATTAAGATAATTATAGTGTTGGTCCCATAGTTTTTAATTTGCATTATCTATATTTTTGGCCCCTATAGTTTTCAATTTCAACAATTGTTATTGTGGTCCATGTAGTGTTAATTTGCATTAATTATAGTTTTAGTCCCTATAATTTTTGTCGCACCAAAGTCACCAGATACGAGTTAATGATTTATTCTATTTAAATTCAAGTAAAAAGGTGGTGGGGGACTCGTAAGTATGTTGGACGTACACTAGGTACGCACAACGTACTCCTTGCATGCGCATCATCGGGGGATCCTCGACGTACGTTGGGCGTAATCAAGCTAGGGGCAAACCCTATTTTTTAGTGTTTGCACCCTATTTAAAGACCTTAAGTCCCTCAAGTCCTTTACCCTCTTAGCCTCCACTTCCATTTTAGTGTCAATATCGAACCCTAGCCTTCCTTGAGTGCATCTTTGAGCTTACCTTGAGTATTTTGGTGTTCTTTGGAGGTTTTGAAGAAGAAGGAGGTTTGGAAAGAAGTAAAGGAGAAGAAGGAGCTTTTAGATCCATAGGTTGTGCATCATTTCTAGCCTACTGAAGGTATAAAGTTTGAACCTTGATCATTACAAGCTTAGATCTAGGTTTAGGGAAGAATATGGCACCTTTTGGCCCCATAGCTTGGTTTCTTGGAGTATGAGAAACTCCAGGCCATTTGGGTTGTCCTTTTGGACTCTTGGAAGTGTTTTGAGACATAAAAGTTGGATCTTGGCGGTTAAGACTCAACCATGCAAGTGTTAGTAACCATCCAAGTGAGTTAATGGGTTAAATTCATGGTTTGAGCCCCATAAATGCATGAAAAAACATAAAGTTTCAACTCTATGGCTTAAGACGATATTTTGAGCTTTGATCTAAGTTTTAGAAGTAAAGGTTGAATGGATTAAGACATGGGAATGAGTTTGGGCTAACTGGCCAATACGTTAAGCATAATCTAGGGTATGCTGCATGTACTGGGTCAGTATCCTGACTCCGGATGGTCATCAGCATACGCTGGGCGTCCGAGCCGTATACGTGGCACGTACATAGTTTGTTGGCTTAGATGATTTTTAGGCTCGATTAGTTTTGGGCTTTGGACTTGTTTAAGTTGGGCCTCGGGCCCACCTGATTGTAGTAGGTCATTTTTGGGCTTCAGGCCATGTTGGGGGTTCTTGGGCAATATATGGCCTTAGAGGCCTTATAGTTGGGCTTGGATGCCTTTTTGGACTTTGTATGGATTTAGGCCTTGGAAGGAAAGAGGACCAATAAGGAAAGGGTATAGAAGCCCTTTTTTCCTTAAGTTAAGAATTAGGGTTTGGACTTTCGGGTTAGAATGTGGCCTAATGTATAATTAGGGTTTTATGATTGTGCGATAGGGAGATGATTTCGTGAGTCATCCGTTGAGTGTGATTTGATACCTACAGTCTGATATGAATCTTCCTTTGCAGTATCTATGGGTCGAAGGCACTAATGCCGACCCACTAGTTTATGATGTAGTGTGATGATTGTCTTTGTGACAATTGTCAATTAAGCTTGTATTTGCTTGATGACTCTTTAATTTCTGTTATGCTATTATGTGGTGGTAGTAGGGGGTGAAATAGACCCAATATCCGGTTGAAATATACCGAAGGGGATTGCAAGCACCCAAATATGCTTGATAGTATCCGGTTGAGATAGACCAAATGGGGTAGGCAAGCACCCATATATGCTTAATA